GGGAAGGCGCTAAGGTTGAGAAATACGCTGATTTGAATCAGGGTTATTTGCTATTTGCTATTCCAAATACACCAGATTATGCAAACACCCTCCTTGACTAGTCCTTTATTAAGAAAGAGAGGAGTCAGATGATTGCAACATTTATATATATAAATATATTCTAATTAAAGGCCTGCTGCAAGACGAAAACAAAACGTGTGCACTTGGAAGGGCAGAATTTCAGTTTGAAACTCAAATCGGAGGTCTTACCTGAGCAACAAACGTACAAATTTCTCCTCCGTAAGCCAGTTGTACAAGGACAGGGTTGTTACCGTCTCCAGGGTGCGCAGGGAGCACCTGAAATGTTTTCCACGTTTGTGTGTACAACTTAAAGCAGAATGCAATATTTTCTTTCCAGATGGGGCAGTACAGCAGCCGGTTGGACAGGGCCAGGAGTAAAATAATCCTAAATAAATTCAATTGCATTCACAAATTGAGAAAATCCGACCCGCAATCCTGCAAAGCCACAGCCTCTGCTGCCGTCCAATCAAAGTCAGGCTTAGACATTGCTTTGTGGTCGCCTGGGGACAGTTTGTAAGGAGGCTTCTAATTGGCTATAAGGAATTTAGTTCCCGCCCCCTTTCTGATCCCAAGTCTAATTAATGATTATATTCCTCTCTCTGTGTATTTCTGATGCCAGTCACCATATTTTTTATTAAGATCACCTTAAAAAGCCCACATTGAACAGATTTTCATCTGGAGCGTAAATATCTCCCCCCCCCATTCCATGACTTTTAAAAAGGAATTTTACATCCGAAGAATTGTCATTTTGATGCTCTTCCTATATTACCATTTATGCTTTTTTTTCTTCTTTCTTTTTGCTTTGGTCTGCAATTTCTGCAGAACTGCAAAGTCTGTTTAAGGTTTTAAGGCAGTGTTTTTAGGAACTTTTAAGACGTGTGGAATTCTGGGAGTTGGAGTATACACGTCTCAAAGTTCCCAAGGTTGGGAAACAACTGATTTAAGAGGGGGGGGGGCAACTGAAATAAATCCAACTTTTTCCAAGATGGTTATACGATTTCGTTAGGTGCTCAAATGCTGCACAGATGCTTTGGCGCTGAAATTTTTACAACCTTGAAACCCAGGACAATAGCTGGCCTCACACGGGACTAGGCTGTTAACGTGATTTGATTTTGAATTATTGTGTAAAGCCAACTGATTTCACTAATTAAGATTTGTGACTTTGGTTGTTGGGGAAAGCCACACTCAATTAAGACATTCAGTGTATCCCAGTTAAATAAAGTCATGCTAAATAAGCCAGGATCCCAACTTTACACTTCACTTCCCCCCCCCCAAACCCTCAGGAGGACCAAGAAATAAATTTTGAGTACAACAGAGAGATTTAAGCCTCTATAATAAGCAGATTTTAAAAATCCTGAATGTAAAGAAAAGCAAATTTGAGATTTCAGGTGAGAGATTTACTGTTAAGATTCAACTGAACATTATGGGGAGCTCCAGACCACCATAATGATGCATATATTGATGCATATATTCTCTGTACATAAATGATTGTTTAACCGGTCACGTAACGTCAAGATCAAACCTAATTTGGAAGAATTTCAAGGAAGAATGTTTTCTTCCTTATTTGACTGAGTGAAAGAATTCCCCATGGAAATTTCCAGCTGCCTCTGCTTGATTCCTATGTAGTCCCATCTCTTTCAATGAATCTGGATAGCTGTTTATATCTTTACCATGGAAGCTGTTTCAAACGTGTCAATTCGTAAAAAGTGATGTTTGCCAACCCTGCTTCATTTCACCTTGTGCAACATCACAAAAATGTCCTTAGCCACTTCACCGTAGCCGACAGCTTTTACTAATCTAGTCCCCTTGAAGATTTGCCAAAAAGGTAGTTCAAAAAGAAAAACCAGTTGCAGCTGAGACATGGTACAACTTTTCTTTATTAAAAATAATTTACATCAGTTTAACATTTTATGCACAATTGTCAGCAAATTGAACTTCTGTCTTTTAAGAGGTCTATACAATACTTATTAGTGAATTGGAAACCATCGTAATCCGTTAACATTGGCTTAAAAGGAGTAGACATTCAGTTGCAGTGGCTCGTGTGAGAATAATAAAATGCAGGTATTCTTTTGCTGTGTATAATTGGTAAAAACTCTCCCCCCCCCCCCTAGTTTGGTTAACAACCTAATCAAGGGCTCAAATATGGTTCTTTTCAGAAGCCAAATCGAAGAGAGAATGCGAAAACCGGACATGTTTCCAGTTTTTGTGATATTTTTTTTTTGCCTCACGACAGCCCAGGATTATGGTAGGTTATGGAACGCCCAGTGCCTTCTGATTAAAATACATTGTGCGCTGCCAACTCGAAAAGAATTCGGTGGTTTTGCTTCCAATTAATAGCACTGCACAGGTCTCCTATCACAGTGTCTAAATCATTATGCTTTTATCGGTTTAGAAAGGGAATTAATCCATGTAAGCCTGCAGATTTGCGATATCGTTCAAGAGGTTTTTAAGGTCCTCCAGAGGTGAGGACTAGTGTTTTCAGAAACCCCTTTCTTCTACAGCTGTCTGAAACCTTTTGAGATTTGGTCAGCTCAGGGCTTTCAGCTTTTTAATTCAATGACAACGTACCAATGTCAGTCAGGAGGGTTATGAGGACTCTCTGCCAAGCTCTTTGCTGGTTCACACATTATGTCCCTCTCCCATTCAATCTATTTATAGTCAGTTCTTCCCAGATGTTCCTAGGAAATTGAAGTTTTTTAAAAAAAGGATAGGGTTGCAACCTCCAAAATATTATCTTTTGAATTTAAGAGGAAAAAGCCAAGCCGTGTCAATGAGTTTGACCAAGGATGGGCAACTATGGCTACTTTATGACCTATGGACTTCAACCCCCAGGATTCCTGAGGCAGCCTGGCTCAGGAATTCTGGGCGTTGAAGTCCACAACTCGTAAAGTTCCCATAGTTGCCCACCCCCAAGTTTGACCTAAAATCTGGATCATAATTTGGACGTGACATTTGGAGAACTGCAATTGGATGGATCTCCTAACATCTGTAGGCCAGAATCATTGGACAGGTGGGATCACACATATGCAACAAAAACAGTAATCTGAGGTGGGCTGTGGTGGGGTGGGGGAAGCTGGTCATTTGAACCCATCCATTTGAAAGAATGTCAGAGATCGGCACCTAGAGATAGACGGAGGCCATTCACAGATGATGCTTGACTTCACATGACTGTCAGATTATTAAAAGGGTCAGCAATGTCAATTACAAGTTTTGAAAAAAAAAATCCAAGTTGGAAGGGTTGGTTTTGGTTTTGGGGCTAGAGCAGGGGTCTCCAAACAACTTTAAGACTTGTGGACTTCCAGAATTCCCCAGCCAGCATGGCTAGAGGACCGTGGAGTGTGTCTATAAGGCACCCTGGTTTTTTTAGGGCATGCATTTTACTTGGGAGGAGAGAAAAACAGTGCCTGGAACCTAGCAATAAGGAAGATGCCTGGAAGTTGAAAAAATAATAATAACAATAATAATTTAGGTACCAAAAGTGAGATATCATTATCTTTTGCCCTTTGTGATCATCAAGACAGAACTTCAAGCATTTCATTCAAATCAGAAAAAATAATAATTCAATAACAAAGGAAAGATACCAATGGTAAAACTATAAGGTGGGTAAACATAAGCACAGCTGATACGGTAGAAAAAAAAATATGGACTCAAGAAAAAATGTCTCTGATTGTAGATTAAGGAGCTTGTTGAAAAAATGCCTAAGTTCAAAGGCAGAAAGGTTCCAGACTTTTATTGACGCCTCTGTAATCCGTATTTCTAATCATTTGGCCTTAAAAAAAATATCTAGTAAGTGTGGAAATTAATTTGTCTTTCAGAACTTCAGGATATATACTTTTAGTGACACAGAATTTACTAGAAGTACTTATTCTATTACATGGGGTCTGTTTGGTTTAATAAAAAACCCAGGTCTATAAACATCTTAAGCGGAAGAGACTTTTTAAATGAGCTCAGGATATTTCCGCTACAGAAATTCCCGTTAATAATAAACCAAAAATTACCGTAAACATCTGGGGACTTAAGAAATTCTTTGCTGCTCAGAATAAAGTCACTACCACTATCTCAAATTCAGTCATTTGGGAAGGAGCAGAATGACTGGAAGAAAACTTGGGAGACAACTTACTTTATAAACCCAACAGGTTTTGTTCACTGCACAAACTGAAGAAACAGGAATTCTTCTCTGTTCTTTTAAGGAGCAGACAACATTCCCAATAGCTGTTAACAGCCAAACCAGTTGAGGAAAGAAAGCGGATGTTATTTAAGCGAGAGACAAAATCCAATTAAATTCCATGATAGCCACTCCTCAGAAGGACAGTTAGAAGTCACTGCAGCTTCTATTTGGAAAATAGCATTTCCTCCAATTGAATTTCAGTTTTGGAATTTTTCACAGAGCAAGATTTTTGCTCGGAGAGCATCCCCTTCAATGTCTGGGCCAATTCCCAGAAATTTCCACTTAATGAGGCCGCTGCGAACAGTTCCCCCTTTTTTGGAAAGCACCAAACAGAGCAGAGGTGGGGCAACAATGGCAGTGTTATGACCGGTGAGCTTCAACTCCCAGAATTCCTGAGCCACAGGAATAAAGTAGCCAGAGTTGCCCGCCCTTGAAATAGGGGAAGGCTGATATAAAAAAAACAACATACTATGCCAGCTTTCCTTAAACTTTCTAGTGGGTGGCTGATACCATAAATTGGATCTAAGAGTGGTGGGTGTTTTGGTTCATTTTCAGAACTGTGGATCCTCCTAATTTTAAAACAAGGGAATCATACATCATTACACCATGTGCTATGCTCAAACCAAGAAACAGCAGTAGGAAGGTAAAAGGTGCAAAGAAAAAAAAAATCAAGGGAGAAAAGAACTGCAAGGAATCTGGCTTAAAATCTTCACAATTCAGTTTCAGGTTTTTCACATAATTTATATACAAAATGGTCTAAGATTAACCCCCCCTCCTCCCCTCCATACTTACAGTTCTCTTTTCACAACACACACACGTCAACGTCTAACAACGTCAATAGCACCATTCGGAGTATTTTAAAATCCGGGAGGACCTCGCTGCGGCCACTACAACAATTTCACAATCTTTTACATCCATGAACAAAGTTATCTGAGCACAATGGGGCTTGTCAGCAGTTCCAGTGGGAGAGGAAGGCTCGGGCCGAGGCCTCAAGAGGCTGGCTGAATTGGCAGTCCTCCGAGGTGGGAACAGGGCTTTACAACAGCTTTACAACAGCCTTCGGACCATATAGTTCAGCACGCCACCGTGTTTGTACAAGGTGATTTCCACATCACTGTCAAACGAGGCAGCCACCTGGAATGCTTTGCCAGTACTCGTCTTCAGAAGAACAAACAAATAAACAAAAAGATAAATTCACAGGTCAGTGAAAGGCTTTTGTCTTTTCCAGGGATACTAGAATTTGAAACTGGATGCCACCCGTTTCTGCTGACTACATTACACAGATTTTGCGAACAACCTGTTGTTTCCAAAGTAATACATTCAGTGTTGAAAATTCTCATCTAATGTCGTAAGATTAAATATAAATACACTCACTCGCTCTGCGAATGAGGTAGGTGGTTTCAAACTTTAACCACTATAAATAAAGTTTGTCAGCAACCCGCTTATTTACTTTGTGTCTTATTTTATTTTTCCTTTTCTCGCTCTTCCCCCCCTTATAAAAAAGGCTTAGGAAAAATACGATGAAAGCAAACATCCCCCAAATATCAAATACTGCACGGAATCACACAGCGAAGTGAAAGGGCTGATACCTTTACACAGAGGGCGATTCCAGGTGACACCTCTTGAGGGAAGAAGATAGAAAACTGCTCTTTGCCAGTCAGGCCCAAAGACTGTGTGCTCTCCCCCGGGAGGAACTGAAGGGGGGCGATGCCCATGCCAATCAAGTGGCCTTTGTGCATCTTCTCGTAGCTTTCTGCAATCACGGCTTTCACTCCCTGTGAGGGGGGGAAAAAAAGTTTGATCCATTTCAGATACTGTCTAATTCCGCCGTATTGCTCTAATCCAGGAGTCTGGATTTTAAAATGGAGAATCCTGAGTTTTCTGGGAAGGCTAATAAACATCGGGACAAACAGAAGCACTGGGATCCCTACTCAAGTTTAGGCCCATTGGCAATCCTCAGAAAAATGCTGGGGAGGGGATCCTGGCGGTTATCGAAGAGAAGATGTCTATGTTATGGTTCCGGCTAATGAAACACTTCAAAGAACTTCCAGGCATTGATTTTCCTAAAAGTAATTTATTGTTACAAAATGTTGGCACAGGCATAACAAAGTTGATGCTAAGATCTGAAATTCTCTTCCTCTGAGCAATTAATTTACCAGCATGTTCCCTCCCTAAATTTGCTGTCATATATCATGTTCTCCTATCAGGTGGAAGGGCAGAGGTTCTCTTCCCGCCTGCAGTCCTATCTTTCTCCTCCCCGCCACCATCATCTGAATTAACTCTAAAAATACCAGACAGTTCTGCATATTTTGTCAAAGCAAGAATATACAGTAATTGCAGCATTGACAGTCTACAGGAATAGCGGTGTCTCCTAGCACTGTACCAGACTCCAAAATGCAAACAACCATTGCTAAGAGAAACGGAGGAAAGAGATAGTTGCAATTAGATATATTCCTGCTACTGCATTAACTCTAAAAAGGTAACCGTTTCGGTTTCCCTTGTCCAGTTATGTCTGACTCTAGGGGGTGGGAGCTCACCTCCGTTTCTTAGCTGAAGGAGTCAGCTTTGTCCTAAGACAGGGGTCCCCAGTCACCGGTCCGTGGATCGGTACTGGGCCAGAAACTGGTCTGTGCAAACAAGTGAAGCCCCATCCACGGGATGCAGGCAGCACACAAAACCACACTCCCTCTGGTCCGCGGGAAAACCTCTCTCCATGAAACCGGTCCCTGGTGCCCAAAAGGTGGGGGTTGCTGTCCTAAAACATATCTCCATGCTCATGTGGCCAGCATGAGCATATGCCGAGGCGCACGGAAACACTGTTATAAATGCAGCCATTATTACAGCCTAACCCACCAGGATTATCTGGACCCCCCTAAACAATCCCTTACAACATTTACGTGAAACCATGACTTCAAGACTATGTGGGGTTCCAATCTGCACACTGCCCAGAGTGTGGTTCTGCGAGTGAGAGGGGCAGTCTCTCAATTTGATATATAAGTACAAATAAATAGATTCACCCATTTTTACAGTTATCAGTCGTAGACTGGTGCTGGAGACTAGTTTGTATGTTTTCAGAAGAGAGACTGAGGGGCAGTTTATGTTCTACAAAATGAAAGATGGCAGCTTCATGAAAGAAATCAATCAAGGTGAAGTAAATAACAACAACAACGACAACAATAATAATGGATTTAAGTAAAAGTGGAATACCAGTAAAAAAGGTCCTTTGGCGGCCCAGTCTCTTGAGCTGCCCAATCCGTATTTCTTGCCGGCTAAGATAATCAGAGGGATGTTTTCTTTCCGATATAACTCAGCGGCGTCAAACACATCCAGCTGCAATTAGGACAGAGAGCTGGGTCACGAGATATTCACTGTGGTTAGATAATCAATAATAAGCTTCCTTTGAGACGATAGCCTCACCGTCTGTCCTGTTGGGAAGTGGATTGTTTTAGGAGCCGGCTTGCCGATGAATTTATTTAAAAGCTTGATGTTGGCAAAGGTGCCTCTTGTCATCACAGAGTCGTTCCCCCGACGAGCACCATACGAGTTGAATTCGCGAGGTGTGAGTCTAAAAGAAAGAAAGAAAGAAAGAAAGAGAGAGAGGGAGAGAGAGAGAGAGAGAGAGAGAGAGAGAGAGAGAGTGTTTAAACAAATTATTGTTTAAAAAAAGGGTTTCCTGCACACACATGAATGGAGGGTTATGATTGGAAGGTTAAGACACAATCTCACTTTCATACATAAATATCTGGCCCTGAGCTGTTGTTTTTTTTTAAATTATGTTTTAACTCTCCACCCTGCTGCTCTGTATTAATTATACCTTATTTTTATACAGTACAGGTAGTCCTTGCTTAATGACTGATTGCTTAGTGACCACTCAAAGTTAGGGACTCCCAAAAGGTACTTATGGTCCAATTTCTAAGTTCCGATGTCCCCCTCCCCACAGATTCACTTGGCAACAGCAGCATTCACTTAAGGACCACCTCAAAAAAAAAAGTCATAAAGTCAGGCACAGTTACCTGGTGACCTGCTTAACGACCACAATGACTCACGACTGTTAATTCTGGGCTCAATTACAGCTATAAGTCAGGGATGACCTGTAACAGAATTCCAAGCCATAGAATAGCTTCGTAAAGAGAAAGTTTACGGCAGGGGTCTTCCAACTTGGCCTTTTGATGACGTGTGGACTTCGACTCCCAGAATTCCTCAGCCAGGCACGCGTGCCTGGCTGAGGAATTCTGGGAGTCGAAGTCCACACGTCATCAAAGGGGCAAGTTGGAAGACCTCTGGTTTACGGCAAAGTCTGGTCTCAAAGGCCGAAGCGCATTTTGCAATCAAGGAGGCCTGCTCTGTTTATCGCTGCCAGAAGAAAGGAATTTCTGAGGAGGAACTGGACATCCTGCTCTTCCTCCTCTTTTAAGACTCACCCTTTAGTCATCAAGTATCTCGCGGCGGCGCTCCCCCTGGCAATGCTTCCAGCGGGGGAGATGTGATCGGTGGTGACCGCGTCACCCAAGTGCAACAAGACGTGAGCATTTTCAACGGCCTGGAGAGGAGGCGGCTCTTTGGCCTGAAAAAGAGACAGGATTGAGCATCGGGCACGTTCCAAACGGACACGCTCACGCCGAACGTCGGCCCACTTACCAGCTTATCAAAAAAGGAAGGGCATCGGATATAGGTAGACTTTGAATCCCAGGTAAATAAAGTGGACTCAGGGGCTTCCAGGGAGTTCCAACGCTTATTTCCTTTCTGGAAAAGAAGAAGGAGCCATTTTTGTAAGAGAACAAACAAAAAACCCCACCTTTTGTTTCTGGTCCTCTGATCCTGCTTTATGCCCAAATGGTATACAGGTAGTCCTCGACATATGGCAATTGAAACCAACATTCCTGCTGCTAAATGAGACATTTGTTAAGTGTGAGTTTTGCCCCATGTTACGACCTTTCTTTTTGCCAGTCGTTAAGTGCAGTTGTTAAATTAGTAACGTGGCTGTTAAGTGTATATGGCAGTGGTGGTGAACCTATGGCACGGGTGCCAGAGGCAGCACTCAGAGCCATGTCTGTGGGCACGCGCGCCGCCGCCCCAGTCCTAGGCCTTCAGCTGGGTTTTATAAAACCTTTTCGCTTTAGGCCTCCGCCGCCGTGTGCAGCAAAAAAAAAAAAAGTTCAATCAATTTCAACTTCTCGTGGGAAAAAAAAGATCTTGCAAAGTTGGAATTGATTGACTGAACCTTTTAGTCCCACCCAGTCTGCCTTTACCACCACAGCCACGCCCACCCAATGGGCCACACCCAGCCAATGGGCCACACCCACCCGGCACCCAACCATACATAAGTGGATTTTGGGTTGCAGTTTGGGCACTCGGTCTCTAAAAGGTTCGCCATCACTGGTATATGGCTTCCCCATTGCTTGTCAGAAAATTGCAAAAGCGGATTACGTGACCCCGGGACACGGCAACCGTCATAAATATGAGTCAGTTGCCGAGCGGCCGAATTTTGATTACGTGGCCACAGTCATTAAGTGTAGAAAAAGGTTGTAAGTCACTTTTTTTTAGTGCTGTTGTAACTCTGAACGGTCACTAAATGAACACTCGTAAGCTGAGGACTACCTGTATAGCCTTCCTCTGATGAAAGAAAAAACGATAAACTACCTCCAATTTTATTTTCAGCTCTTTAAACATGGACGCTATTACAAACTCCTCTTCTATCTGCTGAAGCTCGTCCCGAGAAGGCCAAATATCACGCAGGAAGATATTTCTGCCCTCAGGATTCACCCCTGTAAGAAATTGGAGAACGGTAGAGATAATATCCAGTCAGCCAAAGCTACTCAGAGAAGTGAAAAGTAAGTAAAGTCCAAAAGTTTTCTTTACACGTTGAACACGGGATCAGAGATGGCACTTTTGAGAGCTTTTGTGAGATCTTTGGCACTCTTCTGAGCTGGGTGACTTTCTTGCAGACGTTTCATTACCCAACTAGGTAACAAGGTCAGTGCTCTGAAGGTGTTGATGGTGCTCTGATGGGTGATCACTGAGTACTGATTGTGTTACCTAGTTGGGTAATGAAAGGTTTTCAAGAAAACCACCAGACAGCACTAAGGATTCTACAGTTCATTCTGAACTACAGATATTGCTACGGAGAGGGGTTTTTTGTGTCAAAAGATGCTGGGATACAGGTTTGAGGGCACAGCAACTGCTAACAAACCACACTACTGTAGATCGTCGTCCAAAGAGCACTATAGAACAGGACTTTTCCTCCTACATAAGAGAGCTCCCGATGACAACATCACTCTGATGACAAATTCAAGCTAGACAAACGCGGTTACCCAGTGGCTCAGTCTGGAAATCAATATTCACAGTTCCCGCGATCGCGTAAGCAACAACCAGGGATGGAGAAGCCAGGTAATTGGCGCGGATACAGGTGCAAAGGCGGCCTTCAAAGTTTTTGCTTCCAGACACAACGCCACACGCCACCAAGTCACCCTGAACAGGAAAAACAAAAAGAGGAACAAAATGGGATTTTCTCTCTCTCTTGGTACTCTCATTCTCTTCTAAACTACCTCCCTACTACTCAAGCCATAGAACTGGTTCTTAAGCCGAAAGCAACCAAATTCTGCAGATGTAGTTTTTGTGTGGTTATTTCCCCGCCTTTATTAATTTGATAAATAAGGCAGCCAACGAACCTAACAGTCTTTCCTCTTATTTTCCTCATGACAACAACCTTGTGAGTTAGACTGAAAGAGGTGGTGATGGGGAGACTGACTCAAAATCACCCAGCTGGCTTTTATGGTTAAGGCAGGACTAGCATTCACTGTCACCTGGTTTCTATCCTAGTGCATTAAACCAGGGGATTGCTAAAACAATCCCTACTGGTTTTAAGGTCATTGGTGTCCCAGTTGCTCTCCCATCTCCCCACCCACCCCCCTTCCAGCTGAATGAGCAAGGACAAAATCTTATTTACAATAAGCATTCTCCTATCAAAACACAGCATTTCAAAAATGTAAACTCTGCTCAGATAGCTCACGAAGTAAAGCTTACCTGTACAATCGCATTCTGAATGGCTTCTGGCAAAGGGGCAGTGTTCCCCACACAGGTGGAACAGCCATAGCCAATGACCTCAAACCTACAGTGAAAAGCAGGAATTCATTCACATTTTCACTGCATTTCAATAAACAAAGCATTTGTGAAATCTAGGGAAGGGCTGCTGCATGACAGCTGGGGCTTCAAGGTGGAAATCAGTAGCGCAGTGATTCTCAACCTTGGCAACTTTAAGATGGGCGGACTTCAACGCCCAGAATGGCCCAAGCTAGTATGGCCACTGCCAAGAATTCTGGGAGTTGAAGTCCACTTATGTAGAAGTTAGCAAAATTGGGAAACACTCATCTGAAGGAAAGGGACTTTCTCAGCGGTAAGACAACTGCTGGGTGGGCATGATGCAGGGTCACTAATGGGCATCTTCATTTTAAATTAAAAAAACAAAACAAATGGAATCTTCTCTGCTAAGGCCAACACAGGGCTGTGCAAAGCGGGTGAAAAAAATAACAAATTAGAGCAAAGAAAATAGTACCCAAGTTTATTGAGGTATGGTAATACACCGCTGGAACTGAGATAATGGGTGACCATTCCACTCCCTGGCGACAGGCTGGTTCGTATGTAAGGTTTAACAGCCAGACCAGCTTCAGTGGCTCTTTTAGCCAATAAACCTAATGGAAAAGGGAAGATGCTGTTACAATAATGCCACAACTGCCTTTTTTTTTCCTTTTGCAAATGTAGGATAGCTGGTCCTCACACTTATGACCAATCTTCGCATTTACAACCACCGCAGCATCCCCACGGTCACGTCTGGCACTTGACAACTGGCGTGTATTTATCCCAGGATCTCGTGATCGCCATTTGTAACCGTTCCAGTCAGCTTCCCACAAAGTCAATGGGTGTGTAGGTGTGTGTGTAAGCCAGATTCACTTTAACAACCATCACAATTCACCTCACAATGGCAGTGATTCGTTTAATGACCGTGGTCAAAAAGGTCATAAAGTCGGGGGGGGGAGAGAAACTCGCTGAACAAGCGCCTCGCTTAGCAATGGAAATTCAGCTCCCAATTGTGGTCGTTTATAGCAACGTGATGTAGGAAATGCCAGAGAAGCCCGCGTACCTGCTCCTAACATCGCGGAGGGATTGCAGTTGTTGGTGCAGCTAATGACGGCAGCGATGACGACCGATCCGTGAGCCAACGTGTATTCATTTCCTTCATATTCAACAGGAATGACCCTGCCCTGCTTTTCGGCGGGGATCTGAAAGCCTCTGAAGCCAACCTAGGGGATCAAACAGGAGTTTGCAGACTCAGTCCCACCACACACCAGACGTCCCTCCCTGCTGGGGAGTTAAGAAGGGAGACACCAGAACTCTGGGACCCATACAGGTTTTGATGTTGCACAGTCCAATCCTCACAACAGAAACCAAAAAACCCGAAAGGCCACAAATGATTTCATTTGGATTGGAAACTCTGTGTCCCCTACTTCCGTTATGATGGGTTTTGGAGAAGCAGTTAACAGCCAATTCCCAATGTTCGGTCGTAAACAGAAGGGCTACCTTAAGAACATGCTTCCCGCATCTATGGTACTCAAATCTGAAAAGCTACATCCTAGAGCAGAGTTTCTCAGCCTCAGGCCACTTTAAGAGAGGTGGACTTCAAACTCCTGGGCAGTGGCCTATCTCAAAGTGGCCACTGCTCTAGATCAGGGGTCTTCAAACTTGGCCCTTTTATGACTTGTGGACTTCAGCTCCCAGAATTCCTCAACCAGCGTGCCTGGCTGAGGAATTCTGGGAGTTGAAGTCCACAAGTCATAAAAGGGCCAAGTGTCAACGCTGCTAACATCGGATGTTCTTGCTTTGACAACAGATGGAAATGTAGCCATCTTTTCTCTTTCGCTTTTAGAGTTCGTTGATGCTGGGAGGGGGGATGTGGGTGAGAGTCCAGTTAGTCATAACAATAATAACTCAGCCATGGGAATCCAAGGATATTATGCCCAGCGGGCTGGAGAGCTGGGGAGAAAGCCCTCACTTCAAGCTAATTGGGAAATGTGATTTATGACAGTTAATTGGAGGAGGGAATTGTGCTTTGCTACTTCGTGCCCAGGGAGGGGAATTCAGTTTTTGGCTTTAACTATATAGTGCCGATACTTTGTTTCTCGAATAAAAGATTCTTTAAGGTAAACAATGCCTTGAAGTTCTTTTGAAGAGTTTCATCCAAGACACCAAGTTTGAAGACCTCTGCTCTAGATAGTTCTTATAATCTTCAAAACATTCCAACCAACAGGAAACAGCTTTCCAATATCCCAGAGGGCGATTCCCTTGCCAACATTTCAAACAGCCAGATGGACTTTCGAAACTTTACCTACCTTTTCACGTAAGCATGCTTGAAAGTCGCTCTTCATGTTCGTTACAGCCACTCTATCCTGGGCCCTTTTGGGACCACTTACATACGGCGTTATAGAAGCCAGGTTGATATGTATTATCTGATGGGGAAAAAATGTTTTAATTAGTTCTTACTTCACAACTGATGCTGTTGTGCTGATGCTTGGCTTTTAAAGTGAGCAGGCCAAAAGCAAGGATAATTAGCCTAAGCAGGGGGTTGGAGTAGAAGACCTCCAAGGTTACTTCCAACTCTGTTATTCTATTTTAGAATATACTGACAAACATTTCTGAGGACAAAGCTGGCATTTAAAAAAAAGGCAGTATCTTGAATTCTATATCTCTTTATGGTTTGTATATTATTGGAAAACACATGCTTTAGATCAGGGGTCTTCAAACTTGGCCCTTTGATGACTTGTGGACTTCAACTCCCAGAATTCCTCAGCCAGGCACGCGTGCCTGGCTGAGGAATTCTGGGAGTTGAAGTCCACAAGTCATCAAAGGGCCAAGTTTGAAGACCCCTGCTTTAGATCAACCACTTAAATAATGGCATTTATTCAAAAGTCCTAGTGATATTTCATTCAAGAAGCCTTTGTAACAGAGCCCTCTCTCTGAGGGAGATGGATGGTTAAGAAATATGAAATATAAATCAAATAATCATCAACTGTATCAAAAAGGAATTTATTCCCTTGCCAATAATTCATTAGATGTTACCACGAGAACACAACAACCTGTTTGAAAAGAAAGAGCGTAAAATGCCTCAGTCTAGAGAAATGGTTATTTTCTCGGGGGTTTAATAAAGGCCTTCGAATGAAAAGGCAAATCTTGAGGAAAAAAGACGAGAGGGGCAAACAGAAACACAATAACTTTGAAACAGGCTGGCCCCTTCCGTGCTTACCTGGGAATATTCAGGTTCCTTAGCAGAATACTGGTAATTCCTAAACAGTTTCACAGTTTTAAGATACGTCTCCATGGACTTGAGTTTGGTGTCGTCAAAGCCTATGAGAAAAATTCAAAAGTTTGATCCTATCTGCAAAGATTGAGTAATTAAGCTGCTTTAGCCAACCAAATCTCCTCCTACGGTGTCAGCCTTACCTGTATGCTTTAAGTGCTTTAATGTTACATCATCTACAGGGAAAAAGCTCAGAATTGCACCATATTCAGGGCACATGTTTGCGATGGTAGTTCGGTCCCCAACAGAGAGCTGGGAAACGCCGGGGCCAAAGAATTCCACAAATTTTCCAGACACCCCTGCTTGTCTTAGTTGCTATGGAGACAGAAAAAAAAGAACCCTCCAGTATCATATGTCGGCCAAGGGGAAACGCTACAGCATTGTTTTTTTAAATAAATGGTTAGCAATTTTAAAAAGGGAAATCCATCAGACTTAGCCCCCTCCTAACCAGCAAGAGACACAGTAGTTACATTCAGAACTGCCAGCAAAATTACGAGTAGCCGTCGACTTACGACTATTTGTTTAATGACAGTTCAGTTGTGATAGCCTTGGACAAAGTGACTTACAAGCTATATTCGCACTTTAGGACCTTTGCACCAGCCCCCGTGATCCTGTGGTCACAATTCAGGAGCTTGCATTTATGATCAGTTGTAGCGTCCTGTGGTCACGTGATTGTGATCCACAACCTTTTTTTTGCCAATTTCTGGCAAAATTTTGTTCTTCTTTATTCAGTGTACAAACAACAGAGGAGCCATGTAATTGTAATTACAGTGTTAACGCTCATTTGATAATCATAATCGATACAAGGGTGCCCAGAAGGCAGAAACCTCCCAATTCTTTCCGAATAGAACAGTAGGATTAAATCTTACTACAATGACAACTTCTCCTTGCGAAACATTGCTGTTCTACAACTTCCCAGAGGCAAGTGCTGCTTTATCCAGCTAAGTAGTAACAAGTGTGGGAAGAACGCTGAATGTTTGCCAAGAATGGCTGCTTTAGTACAGATTTGGCTGCCGAGTCATGAAGCTGGCAGGGCATCTATTATCTGTATTGAGGGTTTGCAAAATAATTGATCAATGGCAGTGGGGTTGAGAAATCTACAGATTTTTTAAAATTTTATTTATTTCAAAGTTAGATATGGCCATCCATCCTGTGGCTCACAACTCTGGGTTTTACCTTTGGTGGCTGCTTGTACATGACCACACTGCCTCTCTGGCTGGCCCCAGAGAGAGCTTTGACGTACCTTCGTAATGCTCAGGACTACGTCGATGGATGTAGCAAGTGAGCTGGCCGACCCAGTCAGTTCACACCCAACCACCTGGGGCAAAGTGAGGGTGACGGGGAGACCCAGCATGACCGCTTCTGTTTCAATTCCACCCATCCCTAGATGGGGCAAGAAAAGCATTGAACAGCTTAAAGACGGAGGCGTTACACCAATGCGTAATCTTTATCCAAGCGCTCTTTCGTCTGATGTATAAAACAGGCTGCACTGAAAAAATTCAATATTGTCTTAAACTCATGTCTGGAAGACATATGCCTTAGATCAGGGGGTAGGAAACCTCGGCTCTTTTATGACTCATGGACTTCAACTCCCAGAATTCCTGAGTCAGCATAGCTGACTCAGGAATTCTGGGAGTTGTAGTCCACGAGTCATAAAAGAGCCGAGGTTGCCTACCCCTGCCTTAGATGAAACAGAGTGGACCTTTAGGTGGGTAAACGTAACATTTTTCATCTTCAGCAAAAGAAACCTGGATCTGGACCTTATTTTCTTCCTGTATGTGGCTTTTGGCTATATGCCTAAATCAAGTATACTGTATACATCACCCCAAGGATTTTATGAGATTTGAGGTTGCATTATTATCAATACCCATTTTTACAGTTCTTCCACTCATGATATAAACAGGTATATCTCCCCACAGCTTCTACATATATTTCAGAAGAAAATTATCCGGCATCTGGTGTTCCAAGGAACACTAAGATGACAACCCTGGATACCTTCTTTATATCCATTCCTTTTTAAGTTACATTTTGCGGGCTATTGTTTAATTGTAAATACAGGGCCACAATTCTTAAAAGGACTGAAAGGGAACCAGAGGGCACAATTTCAAAATAGTGACGAGTGCAAGAACATACTTCTACAAAAAATATATATACTTCCCTTGAAGACTAAGGGAACAATTCTGTGCAGTAATAGCTATATGAAATATTTTTGCCCACAATCTTTCATCTCTTCTGAGCGCTGCATGTCCTGTCTTTTGAACTGTAATCTAAAAGTGTTACAATTTAAGTAACAGAGACCATCATGAGGCTGACATTTGAAAATAACTTAGAGCCACTGGACTGCCAAACCACCCCGTTCTTAAACATAACACATAACCTTTGTACCAATATCACCCCAATTAATCTCTTTAGAAAGATATTCAAAAGCCTCTTCAAGTGACTTACCCCATCCCAGGATTCCCAAGCCGTTCACCATGGTTGTATGAGAATCTGTGCCAATAACACTGTCAGGATAAAGGAAGTCTTTGACATCAAATACTACTCTTGACAGGTGTTCCAGATTCATCTGATGGGCCATCCCCGTCCCGGGAGGAATTACTGAGACATTTCTGAAAACTTTGGAACCCCACTAGTTTAATTCATAAAAAGAGAAACAGACAGACAGAAAAGGCACGTTAGTTTCACACTTTCTAAATCAGCATTTTCAACTCTTGACACCTCCCCAACAAATGGCACTTGCACATTCTGAGAATTGCATCCCAAGAGAGGCTGGCTACTTTCCTGCTCCTAATTTCTTTCCTAGGGGGAAGTGGGGATTAATATGAGAATTTGCCGTGTCCTGTGTTCCTCCTCTATATAGTAGGAAAGAAGAGGGGAGATCATTTTTGATCTTGGCACATCTTTATCAATCCATAACAAATAATAATCAATGCCTTTCTATCAAATTCTCCTGGGTCACGTTGCCTTCAAAGCAACGTACCTTAAAAAATTGGAGTCTCTCTTTATTTCTTCCAAATTCCATCTCTTGATTCTTAAATACTGTTTCAGGCCTAAGTAGACGAAAGGGGGAAAAAAAAACATATTAAAACCGTTATCTGCAGTACTTAGAAAAACAGCCCAAAGAAATGGATTTTTTTTCTTGCTAACGTTCCAGGAAATTTTGCACAATGAAAAATAGAATGTTAGAGGGTGAAAGCGGTATTTCCCATGTGTCCTTAGGTTTTAATGTTTTGTTTTAATTATTTATGCTTTAATTGTATACGTATAGATATATATTTTGATGACTATAAGCCATGCAGAGTTACCCTAGGGCAGGGGTGTCAAACTCAATTTCATTGAGGGCAGCATCAACATTGCGGTTGCCCTCAGGGGGGTGGGTGGGTGTGGCCTACTGGGTGGGTGTGGCCAGCTCTACATCATTCATGTCAAGGGTGTCTGTGGGGGCCTGGGCAGGAGTGGGATAGATCTGAGGGTCTCTGGCAGAAGGGGGTGGGACCAGGGCAAGTGCCAAGGCATGGTCCACTGGAGGACCCTCACTGTTCCTCTCAGGCCNCTTCCACTCATGATATAAACAGGTATATCTCCCCACAGCTTCTACATATATTTCAGAAGAAAATTATCCGGCATCTGGTGTTCCAAGGAACACTAAGATGACAACCCTGGATACCTTCTTTATATCCATTCCTTTTTAAGTTACATTTTGCGGGCTATTGTTTAATTGTAAATACAGGGCCACAATTCTTAAAAGGACTAAAAGGGAACCAGAGGGCACAATTTCAAAATAGTGACGAGTGCAAGAACATACTTCTACAAAAAAAAAAAATACTTCCCTTGAAGACTAAGGGAACAATTCTTGTGCAGTAATAGCTATATTTTTGCCCACAATCTTTCATCTCTTCTGAGCGCTGCATGTCCTGTCTTTTGAACTGTAATCTAAAAGTGTTACAATTTAAGTAACAGAGACCATCATGAGGCTGACATTTGAAAATAACTTAGAGCCACTGGACTGCCAAACCACCCCGTTCTTAAACATAACACATAATCTTTGTACCAATATCACCCCAATTAATCTCTTTAGAAAGATATTCAAAAGCCTCTTCAAGTGACTTACCCCATCCCAGGATTCCCAAGCCGTTCACCATGGTTGTATGAGAATCTGTGCCAATAACACTGTCAGGATAAAGGAAGTCTTTGACATCAAATACTACTCTTGACAGGTGTTCCAGATTCATCTGATGGGCCATCCCCGTCCCGGGAGGAATTACTGAGACATTTCTGAAAACTTTGGAACCCCACTAGTTTAATTCATAAAAAGAGAAACAGACAGACAGACAGAAAAGGCATGTTAGTTTCACACTTGCTAAATCGGCATTTTCCACTCTGACACCTCCCCAACAAATGGCACTTGCAAATTCTGAGAACTGCATCCCAAGAGAGGCTGGCTACTTTTCTCCTCCTAATTTCTTTCCTAGGGGGAAGTGGGGATTAATATGAGAATTTGCCGTGTCCTGTGTTCCTCCTCTATACAGTAGGAAAGAAGAGGGGAGATCATTTTTGATCTTGGCACATCTTTATCAATCCATAACAAATAATAATCAATGCCTTTCTATCAAATTCTCCTGGGTCACGTTGCCTTCAAAGCAACGTACCTTAAAAAATTGGAGTCTCTCTTTATTTCTTCCAAATTCCATCTCTTGATTCTTAAATACTGTTTCAGGCCTAAGTACACGAAAGGAAAAAAAAACACACACATTAAAACCGTTATCTGCAGTACTTAGAAAAACAGCCCAAAGAAATGGTTTTTTTCTTGCTAACGTTCCAGGAAATTTTGCACAATGAAAAATAGAATGTTAGAGGGTGAAAGCGGTATTTCCCATGTGTCCTTAGGTTGTAATGTTTCGTTTTAATTATTTATGCTTTAATTGTATACGTATAGATATATTTTGATGACTATAAGCCATGCAGAGTTACCCTAGGGCAGGGGTGTCAAACTCAATTTCATTGAGGGCAGCATCAACATTGCGGTTGCCCTCAGGGGGCCGGATGGGTGTGGCCAGGGTGGGTGTGGCCTACTGGGTGAGCATGGATGGAGTGGGTGTGGCCTACTGGGTGGGTGTGGCCAGCTCTACATCATTCATGTCAAGGGTGCCTGTGAGGGCCTGGGCAGGAGTGGGATCTGAGGGTCTCTGGCAGAAGGGGGTGGGACCAGGGCAAGTGCCAAGGCATGGTCCGCTGGAGGAGCCTCACTGTTCCTCTCAGGCCATACGGGGGGGTGGGGGGTGGGCTGGGCTTATGGAGCTAAGACTGAGTGTGTTTCAGCATAGATGGCCACCACAAAATTCTACACTGGCTCCTGGCTGGCCTGGGCCAGGGCCAAGGCAGCGGGGGCCGTTCCCTCACTGTTTCCAGGATGGCTTCGCAGGCCACATGAAACCACTTCGCGGGCCGCATCCGGCCCCCGGGCCTTGTGTTTGACATGTCTGCCCTAGGGTAAGATGAGCGGCCAATAAATTTTATAAACAAACAAACATATACAATTTCCCATCAGTGAAAATCCTTCGCCACAAAGGTGGTTTGATATTGGTTCCAAAGTAAGCTTAATACGTGAGTACAGGTAAGATCTGGGTGGAAGCCAGTCTCGCTAGCTGACAGCTCTTGACTGCCAAACGGGAATGACCCTGCAAAGCCAGGAGGGAAAGGTAAAAAGGCAAGCTTACTCAGGCACTGGTTGAAGATGAAAAGGACACAAGAGGGGGGTGTTCTCGATCTGCACAGAAAACTGGCCCGGGTTCCGTTTTGACTGTCCATCACATGGTCCTTTGCAGCTGGACTGATCTCGGCAGGGGAGCTTCCGAGGAGCTTTAAGCGGGGAGAGTTTTGAGGAAGGAGGCCGTGGGGGATCACCGCCTCCAGGATTCGGAGCGTTCTGTATTGCACTAGGCAAAAATGAAATGGAGAGAATGCTTTGTTCATTGCAATCCTTTGAATCCTTATTATGCTAAATTACAATATATACTTTTGACATGAACATTAGAATTATTTTGATTTTTAGTCTCCACAGGTAAAAGGAGCTTTAATTTTAATGAGAGAGGAGGAGGGGGAGGGAGGGAGGGAGAAAGAGAGAGAGATTTTTCATTTGGGGAATACTTCTCTAATATACTGGTTGCCTTATATTGGTACTTCATCATCTGATTGGGTTGATGGGAATGGAAAATCCCAGCAATCGTATTGTGTGTGTGTGTGTTTGTGTGTATGAAATTCCCTATTCCTGCTTCCAATACAATGGGATTCAATGTACTTAAATTAGATCAACTCAGCATCTTAACATCACCCCATTTTTGAGTCTACCCACTTCAAAACAAGCATTCCATTCTCAAGCCCCATCCACCTGTCCCCAGCAAAATATAAGGAAGCCGACAATTCGACAGGTACCATTTGCTGAAGTCAATCTGCAAAGAATGGTCCACCGTAAGATCTGTTGGGCAGACAGGATGGACTCGGGTGGGATCTCCTCCAAGGTTCTTCACCGCTTCCCTCATGGCAGCAAAGTCGACCATTGCAGGAATTCCACTGGCAAATAGGAACAATGTTTTCTACTTAGTATATCTAAAAGGCCAGCAATGTAGATCCAAAGAAGGCAGGATCCATCTCATCAAGAGGATTAACCGTGATTCTAACTATGGTTTAAGCTAGGGGGTCTCCAAACTTGGCAACTTTTTAAGACTTGTGTACTTCAACTGCTAATATTCCTCAGCCAGCATGGAGGAGACCCCTGGTTTAAGCCACAGCGGCTGAGTTCACACATTGCTCTAAACCAGGGGTAGGCAACCTTGGCTCTTTTATGACTCGTGGACTTCAACTCCCAGAAGTCACGAGTCATAAAAGAGCCAAGGTTGCCTACCCCTGCTCTAAACCATAGATGATAATGGATGGTTTCTTGTATTATGCAAAGCTTAAACTACACAGCCACATCATGGCTACATTTAACATGCGAGTCCCATCATAGGTTGACTGGCATAGGTTGGTGGCATAGTGGATGACCAATCTGTCAATTAGACTCATTGGGAAAAATTCCTGTCTGAATGCCTGCATGGAGCTATCCTGAAACATACAACTTGCTGTAATGATCTTTCGTTATTTCAACCCTAACAGACATTCGCTGGTTATTGCTTCGGAGCCGGTGCCAGGATAAACTCATACGACCTGAATTTCTGACCATCTAAATACTCGGAAAGGCCCACCCAGGACATTTAGGAAAACACATCAGGTTCTAGCTAAAATAGAGAACTCGGAAAAAGCGGGTCTTACGTGAAATCTTGGAGGAGGACTCTGGCAGGACAAAAGGGCACTTCAACATTGTTCTGTTTGGCTTGCCAGTCCAGGATATTCATCACGTCTCCTTCTTTCACTAGGAAACCATTGCAGTTGCGGACGGCCGTTTCCAACATGACCCGTATGGTGTAAGGCAGGAGATCTGCAAATGGACAGAGTAGCTAAATTGCTCGAGGATAAACGCTGGTGCTGGTATCCCTGCCATAGGCTTCCTTCTAAATTAGGAAACTGGGAATTGAAGTCAACAAGCCTTAAAGTTGACAAGTTTGGAGAATCCCGGAATAAAGAAATTTCTGCCCAGGGAGATAAAGAGCTACATTAACAGAGGGATAGAATCAAGATCCCGTGAAGTGTTAATACCACTTTACAATGCCTTGGTAAGGCCACACTTGGAATACTGCATCCAGTTTTGGTCACCACGATGTAAAAAAGATATTGAGACTCTAGAAAGAGTACAGAGAAGAGCAACAAAGATGATTAGGGGACTGGAGGCTAAAGCATATAAGGAACGGTTGCTGGAATTGGGTATGTCTAGTTTAACGAAGAGACGGACGAGGGGGGACATGATAGCAGCCTTCCAATATCTCAGGGGCTGCCCCAAAGAAGAGGGAGTCAAGCTATTCTCCAAGGCGCCTGAAGGCAGGACAAGAAGCAACGGATGGAAACTCATCAAGGAGAGAAGCAACCTGGAACTAAGGAGAAACTTCCTGACAATTAGAACAATTAACCAGTGGAACAACCTGCCTCCAGAAGCAGTGAATGCTCCAATATGGAAGTTTTTAAGAAGAGACTGGACAGCCATTTGTCTGAAGTGGTATAGGGTTTCCTGCCTGAGCAGGGGGTTGGACTACATGACCTCCAAGGTCCCTTCCAACTTTATTATTATTATAAAGCTGCGATACAACACAATCTGTACAACTGAGCTAGTCCAACAGATTAATTTGACATAAGACAGCTGCTATGTCCTGATTACAGACAGTCCTCAAACTTACAGCAGTCCGTTCATTGACTGTTCAAACCTATAACAGCACTGCAAAAAGTGACTTATGACACTTGGGACCGTTGCAATATCCCCTTGGTCATGTGATAAAAATTTGGACGCCTGGCAACTCACTCATATTTACAATGGTCGCAGTGTCCCGGGGTCATGTGATCTCCTTTTGTGACCTTCTGACAAGCAAAGTCAATGGGGGAAGCCAGAGTCAAACAACTGCAATGATTCACTTAACAATTGGAGCAAGAAAGGACATAAAATGGGGCAAAACCCACTTAACAAATGTCTCACTTAGCAACATAAAATTCTGGGCTCAATTGTCATCGTAAGTCAAGGACTACCTGTGCTATATGGGAGAAGCCTACTTTATAACCCGCAAGAGCTGGCAATTGAATTGCTTTTCCTTTAAGCATCGTTTGAAAATATGCAAAACATTAAGAAGCATTTGCTGGTATTCTTGGTGTTAGTTTCCTTAGGGTTGAGTACAGGCCAGGAGTAAGAGTTCACATGTTCTGCTCTTGGATTTTGGAATCCTGTCACTGTTACACAACAGCAGGGACAGCTGCTAGTTAGGGAACCTTTCAAAATTAGATTGCTAACTTTATTAAGGATTGCAGAAGCGGTGAAAGATAATTCTGTAGTAATGAATTATGAGAACATTTGTCCAAGGGCACTGGAAATTTCTGCAAGTCTGCCACAGTCAATGAGCTTGCAACCTCGGAAAGAAAAAGCAATTATTCTTTTTAATAAGCATAAAGCAAGCCCTGTGTCAGTAGACCCACATAATAATTTTTCAGCTCTGAAGGTTGCAAACTATTGCTGCAGGCTTCACTAGCTTCATTTAAATGAGTTGAGTTTTCTAAGGCAGACCAGGTAATTTCTCCCTCATTAAGTGATTCATCAAAGGCTAACCATACAGAAAAGTGTTTATGAACTGACAACAGCAGTTTGGGCTGTTAAGTAAGAAACAGACATTCCCTAACATGGTTTCTTATTCCAAAACATACACTCCGGTGACTACAACTATCCTAAAGGTTTTCAATGTGACAGAGAACCAAGAACAGTTCATCAATAACTTATCAGCTCTGATCTCAACTTTCAATAGTCATATGGGGAGATTTCACAGGAATCAAATGCATGATTCAATGCACTTCCATTAGGGAAGGAAGGCGGGATATAAATGAAATGACAAACAATTTGAAAGACCAGATGAGCAACTCAAACTCCTCTTTCAAAAGACCTCCACATGTTTGTCTAGTGTAAATTAAAGATCTTTTTATCCCGGTCATCTCCTGGAAGGATGTGAGCAATTAATAGACTTCCCCATCATGCTTTTTAGAGACAGTTTTATATGGTCAACTATCTGCTTCTTGAAAAGTACACATAGCAAGCAGAATTTCCGTCCTTTTTCTAAAAGATAAGGAAGACAGCAGCGTGACAACACCCAGCTGAACCAACTGATAAACAAAGGCTTTAATTCTGAATAAGCTTTTTCTGCAGTCCTCTCTGAAATTCACTAACTAGATTCCATTAATTTGAAAATATACCAAACCTTTCAAGCAGAAGAAAATGAATACGTTTGAACTAAGGAAGATCATTTCTAGATGTACTGTCACCAGAGGAGTTAATATTATTTTGCAATACCGTGTTATGAAAGGGGTCCACAGGTTTCTCACAGAACGAAAAAAGAGCAAGCAGACGTTAAACTGGACAAACTTCCTTTAGTATAAAAAAACCCAAAGCACATTAACGGCCTACTGCAGTTAATTCAAAGGAATATCCAGGAAGAAGGAAATTAATAGCAACCCTCAGGCATATTAATTCAAACAGTTTTAATAGAGAAAACATTAAGGATTACAACTCTGCAGCATAATCCCAAGAATGGGTTCAGTAACAAGGCCACCAATCCCCAAATTTGTTTTAAGACCACTTAAAAAATCTTAACGAAGTTAGATTTATTAGGTTTATATTAGAACGACACAATTGAAATATATTTTTACCATATTTGGTGCCTCCTAGTTTAGCAATGTTGTAGAACTTTTTGTCTGCATTGTCGCTCAGTGTTTCAATTAAGTGCTGGAACAGGTGTCCTGAAAAAAGATAGATTATTAGTTATTTAGTGTGAGTGTGTGTGTGTGTGTGTGTGTGTGTGTGTAGTTGGACAGGAAGGCTGCAATCCTATCCATTTTCACTATGAGTAATACCCATTAAATGCACTGTAATTTACTACTAAATTTAAAAAATCAGTAATAAATATTTAGATTGCAAGACTAAACATGTTCCTGTATTTTTCCTACTATATTTTATATATACCTTTATTCTAATTTAAGTAGAATTTAGATACATAATAGATTCTATATATAACATTATTTTTTTCCCGAACACTATACAGATCTAATTTCACTTTGGTAAATATTGGCCCACATCCAGGTTTAGTCATACTTGGAAACTGAAAACAATAGAGCTTAAATCTTAAGTAACAAATCCCACTGATGCCAATCTAATCTCAGTACAATTAAACATAAGAGCTAACTCATTGTCTTCATTAATACATGATAAATTATATTTAATATTCTGGAGACAAAACAACTTTTTTAAAAAATAAAATGTTAAAGAGCAGAACATATATTCTTTACGTATAACTAGTACTTGAGGAATTATGGAGAAAGTTGTCTTTACCTCTACCATAGCGAGTGAACTTTACATAATAAAAGTGTTTTTGGGAGGGATAATACAAGTGTGCTTGAGTCTATCACAAATGTTCCAATGGTACCCAAGGTTTAAAACCTTCAGAAGGAAGTCTTGTCCATAACATGTGGATATATCCCTGAATCCCAGGAAGAAAGATTGTGACTTGCTGGAGACTACTTTGCTTTCAAATCCACACAGAAAAAGCGTGCTTCCCACTCATCTCCACTTTTTCTACTATGCAAGCACACAGATCTTCTGACAGCAGACAGAGCTGGGATCTAATTTGCTACAGGATGGAGGAATGAACCGCAGCGGAAAAATTAACAGGCGAAAGAAACCAGCCCCTTATTTTGCTAATCTCTTGTTCAATATTTTTCTTGTCTAGCCTCCAATATTGTCATTTCTTAGAGCACCGAAAAAGGCAGAACTGAATCAAGCCAATGTGGATAGGGAGCATGAAAATGGGAAGAATGCAGAAGGCCTGCAGATGATGGGTCTCGTAGCCAAGAGACATGGAAGGGGATGATGGGAACTGTTATTTAACACTTCTGGAATTGCAACGACAGAAACTACAGCCCATGGGAAAAGAACAGGGATGATGGGAACCACATCTTAACAGATTTTAGATGGGGTGATGGGACTTGTAGTCTAAGGCCCATGGAAGGGGATAATGGGAACCATTTAATAGACCTTGAATGAGGATGATGGGAATAACAGCCCAAGGCCCATGGAAGGGGATGAGGGGAACTGTTGTTTAACAATTCTGGAATGGGAATGACACGAACTGTACCCCAAAAGAAATGGATAGAGATGATGGGAACTACTGTTTGATAAACCTGAGAGAGGGACAATGGGAACTGTAGTCCAAGGACGTGGAAGGGGATGATGACAACGGTTGTTTCAAAGCTGGAATGGGGATGCTGAGATGCATAGAAGGGGATGATGGCAACTGTGGTTTCATAGTCCTGATAAGGGGGTGGTGGTGAGGGGAACGGTACCCGAAGGGAAATGGACAGGGATGATGGGTGTGCTGGTATCCCAGATGGGAACTGGGGTTTCATAGTCCTGATAAGGGGGATGATGGGAACTGCACCCCAAGGGAAACGGGAATTGTAGCCTAAAGCCCAGAAAGGCTGTGTGTGTGTGTGTGTGATGGGAATTGTAGTCCCCACACATGCTGGTATTTTGGGGAGGGGGGGCACCAGGCTGGGAAAGGCCAAACTAATTAAGGGGGGGGGAGAGAGGCAAGCAAGCGAGAAAGATGGCTGACAGCTTCCTTCTCCCTTTCATCCGAGGGGAGGCCAGTCCTGGCGGGCACAAAGGGAAAAGGGGCCATTTTGCCACCCTGGCCCCCGTCCCCGCCCCCTTCCCCATCGCCACTGACCTGCCCGGGCCGCCTCCATGTTCCTCTCCCGAAGAAGGATGCCCCGGGAGGAGGGTGGGGAGGGGAGAAGAAGAGCCGACGGGGGCGCGGGGCCCTGCCCTCAAAGACCGCGAGGCACCGAGGGAGGGAGAGAGACAACCGGCGGGCCCCTCAGCGCCTCCGCCCGGTCCTCCCCGCTCCCTCATTGGGGCTCTCCCGGTTCTCGCGAGAGCTCAGCCGCCCGCAAGAAAGGAAAGCGGCGCAGGCTCTCGCGAGGTTTGGGCCAGCCGTGAGGGGCGGCGCGCGTGCGTCAGTGCCCGCCTCTCCTCCTCCTCCTCCTCCCCCTCCCTCTGTCTCGGGTTAAAGGATGGAGGGGGATAGCGGCTCGACGAGCGAGACTTCAGGGCGCAGGTCTCGCGAGAGCTGGGAAGCTGTCGGCCTTGGGAACGCAGAGCGGTCCATCAAGGAAAGTTCATTACTCTTCCTTGCGCCGCTAGGGGCAGACCGAGCCTACGTGCGTCAAGGTAAAAACTAAGAGGCGGCCCTGTCCTTCGTGAGCATGCGCTGTCTTCTCGGCCTCGTGCGATGCATTTTCCCCTGAAGGGGCGGAACTTTGTTAACCCTCTGAGGGTCGGACGGAAGGATTTGGAAGCCGTACCAGAAGGAAAACAACTTTGGTCCTGAAGAAGGCATGGCAGGAGCGGGGAGTGATTTAAAGGCCTCCTTGCTGAAGCACCGGCGCACCACCTTCGAACGGGTGGAAAAATTCATTTCGCAGGATTATTTTGTGGATTGTAACCTTCGGGGCAGGTGGGCTAGGGTTGGTCCGTTCGCTAAATCCTTCCCCTGCATTTTCCCCAGTTCAGGTAATCCTCGACTTACGACCACAATGGAACCCCAAATTTTCTGTTGCTAAGTGAGACATTTGTTACGTGAGTTTTGCCCCATTTTACGACTTCTCTTGCCACAGCTGTTAAGTGAATCACTGCAGTTGTGAAGTTAATAATACGGCTTCCCCATTGACTTTGCTTGTCAGAAGATTGCAAAAGGGGATCACGTTATCCCAAGACATTGCAACCGTCGTAAATATGAGTCAGTTGCCAAGCATTCGAATTTTGATTATGTGACCATGCGGATACTGCAATGGTCGTAAGTGTGAAAAATGCTCACAAGTCACTTTTTTTCAGTGCCATTGTAGCTTTGAACAGTCACTAAATGAACTGTTGTAAGTCGAGGATTACCTGTACTGTTCCCAAAAGGCTGTGATTGTTCTGTTGCAAAGAAAGGGGGAGGAAAATGGTGCAATTTTAAAGGTTTATGTAACGGCCAATCCAGGACTGAAGGCTTTACATTTTACAATTAAGAAGCACAGAAGCTCCAATGTGGTTGCCAAATGTTGAGTTTTCTTCTGTGGCTGACTTTTGTTTATTCTCAATTAAGGGCGATGTTATCTCTTGGGCCGCAGAAGAGGTGGCTTTGAACCGTGTGGCTAGAATCGCCTGCACTGAATTTGAAGGAAGATGTTGGCTGGGAGCAATTTTTATTTGCTTGAGTTCCTTTGGAAGCAGTTTTAATAGCAGCAATTTAATTGGTAGTTTTAATTAGTTGCTGCCTATGGAAAGCACTACTTGAAGATTTTTGTTGTTCAGGCATCATGTAAACAGTGTTTTTCAAACTTGGCAAATTTAAGGTGTACCGTAATAGCACTTTCTCTTGCTCTACAGTGGTGTTTTTCAACCTCACTAACATTGAGATATGTAGACATCAGCTGCTAAAATTCCCCATGCTGGCTGGGGAATTCTGGGAGTTGAAGTTCACATATCTTAAAGATTCCAAGTTTGAAAAACACTCATTTAATCTACTGCTTATTGATCATTCTCACAGGACAGAAAGCTGAAAGAGATGGAAGGAAAGAGAGAAAAATCCTTAAATGCTTTTAAAAGCAACTGATCAAACATGTTTGTACGCTTAAACACCAATTGTGATCCTAGGAATTTGCATTGTATGCTAATCAATGGTTAATTTTAACCGTTGATTACTTTAACTCACTTGTTGGAATTCATAACCCTAACCTTTGCCCAACCTATCCAGAAACTAGTCAACCCCATTTTAATTAAGCTATAGAAGTTTCCCCTCTAGCTATGGTAGTGGATTATAAATGTTGGAGCTCAATTCGCCTTAACACCATTTGTTTTGGAAAAGTTGCTTTTGTGGAACTTTATTTAATGAATCTGGTCCTAATAAGGCAGGTGTGGATTTAAATCGTGTAGAAGAACTGGAAGACCATGAGAAGTTTATCAGGGAGGAATATGCTGTCTTCAGTCTCTGAGAATGCATTATTCTTTTGTCTTTTAACAGGCTGTTTGGTGACAGATGTGCATTGGCATCTCTGTCTTACTTTAAAACTTCTAAACGAATTCCATACAGTGAAGCTATTGGGGAAGAATTCAGCCCTATTAAAGTTGGAGATAGCTTTGGACAGACGTAAGTATTTCCTTATTCAGAGCTGAATTTCCCATCTCATTTCCTAAGGGAACAAAATGAAGGGTTTGTACTTTAGCTTAGAACCACTTTAGCCTAGTGGCTAAGGCTTCAGGCTAGAAAGTAGGAGATCATGAGTTCAAGTCCCTCATTAGCCATGAAAGCCAACTGAATGAATTTTGGACCAGTTACTCTCTCAGTCCAATCCATCTCACAGGGCTGTTGCTGCTGGGAAAATAGGTGGAAGTTATTTCTAAAAATAATGCCGGCTGGAGAATTCTGAGAATTGAAGTTCAGACATGTTCAGGTTGCCAATGTTTAAAGGGTATAACCATTGCACTTTTTAGTTAATGGAATCTGTGGCATCCTGACAGTTTTAGTGTCACTTTTCTAAGGTGGCACACCTGCTGGTTTAAAGTAGAACTCAGCATTCCCAAGAAATGGACTGGAAAGGAAGTGCATCTTCTTTGGGAAAGCGACGGAGAAGGAATGGTTTGGAGGGATGCCCAGCCCGTTCAGGTAAGTGGCTGTCATGAAATTATCACCAGCTGGATCCTCTTTGGGATTCTTTTGCTCTCCACATAAAAAAAAAATCGCCCCCATGATAAAAAGGCAAGTGCACAGTAAATAAAACTGCCTCAAATGCTATTCATTGGGGGAAATGCTGGAGAGAAATAAAATGTTTACAAAAGAATGTAATGGACGTAATAATTCAAGGACTACCTATATTGACAATGCAGTCTTCCTTTTCACCTGTCCAACTATATATTATTTGCCATTATCAGAGTTTGACTCGAGAAGGTGAGAAGACCAGTTATATGCTGACTGACAGTCTAAAGGAGACCGACCCTCATGGGTGAGTCAGTATTTTGCAGTATTGTTATGGAAATAATACTTCCCTGCTCTAGCAATTCAATAGAAATGAAGCTTGCCGGTATTTTGACATAAATCTTCGTATAGAAATATGCTTAAAAGTATTTGAACTGTTTAATCATCTCGGGATAGCCATCCTATCCCCGAAATGCCAGGTGCTGAAAATGCACATCGCCTGCAATGCATAATCAGCTGACATAAAACTGGAACAATGTAAGTTGCCAAAATTCCAGTGGAAAGAAAAATCATTTGCCAGAGGGATGAACAGGTGATTTAGGGTGGGAAATTTTGGCAGTGTTAGGGTAATCACTGGGAACCTAATCCAGGCCCATGGATTTTTCAAAACAGAAAAGTAATAGGCTCCTTTTTCCCTTCTGCAGCTTTACCCTCTATCTGGAGGTTGCCTGCAATGGTCTCTTCGGAGCTGGGAAGGGCAACATGATTGCACCCCCGGATCTGGACAAAACGTTCTCCTTGAATAGAGCAGAGCTAGTGGTTTACAACCAGGATGTCCATGAGCTTCTGGTGGACTTTGAAATCCTCTTGGACATGGCCAAGGTGAAATGTCTCGTTTTTGCCATTTTAATGGACTGAGAGTTGGGGGAGGGGGCTTATGATCTTATTTCTGCTTTTTAATTTTTGATCCCCAGATATTTTTGGGTTCCAATTTGAAGCAGGTTTTGGTGGCGAGCTTGATTTGACTGGTCAGCGTAAAATGTATCTTTCTTTTCCCGCTTAGCTCCTCGGAGAGGAAAACCAGCGGAGCTTCCAAGCGCTTTACGTAGCGAACCAGATGGTGAACCTGTGTGATGTCGACAACCCTGCAACCTTCCCGGCCGTTCATGAGCTGGCCCGCTCTGTTTTCTGCCAGAAGAACGGAGAGAGCCAGCATATCATCCATGCAATGGGCCATTGCCACATTGATACTGGTAGGAACGGTGCGCGCGGAATATATTCCAGTCTAGGAAAGATCTGCCAGGCCTTCTAATACAATTAGGCAAAGGAGTGAAGGATGATATGCAAGTAATCCTCAACTTGCAACCGTTTTATTTAGTGACCTTTTGAAGTAAAAAAAGTGACTTAACAACCGTTCCTCACACTTAGGCCATCACAGCATCCCCACGATCACGTAATCAGAATTGGGCCGCTTGGCAACCAGCATCATGGACTCAGGTTATCACCATTTGTGACCTTCCCAAGCTGGCTTCTGACAAGCAAAGTTAAGGGGGGGGAGAAAGGGAGTCAGATTTGCTTAATGGTCACAGGATTTGTTTAACCGCAGGGATTTGCTTAACAAACACGGCAAAAAAAAATCATAAAACTGGCCACGATTCGCTTAATGGCCGCCTCGCTTAGCAACCAAAATTCTGGCCTCGGTTGTGGTTGTATTTAGCTTTAAAAAATACCCCATGCATTGCATAGATTCGGTGAAAGAAATTTGGGGTACATAGCCCTAGCGTTGTGTTGCTTACCCCCAGAAATTGTGGGTGCTCCATCACTGGAGATTTTTAAGAAGAGATTTTTAAGAGATTTTTCACTTGTCTGAAATGATATAGGTTCTCCTGCTTAAGCAGGGGGCTGGACTAGAAGATCTCCGAAGTCCCTTCCAGCTTCTATTCTATTCTATTCTATTCCATTCCATTCCATTCCATTCTGTAATTATATTCTATTCTTATTCTATTCTTA